GTCACGGGGCAGGGAAAGGACCCCCGCCCGCCCTCCTGGGACCCTGTGCCAAGAGCAGAGGAGGGTGTGGCCGCCGGAGTGTCCAGCGGGGCCTGGAGCCCGAGGCAAGGCGCAGCCTCGGAGCAGCTCGGACACGTGGCAGGGTTGGCGTGGCTCTGCAAGGTGGCCAGTCGTCCGGGACGGCGGTCGGTTTCCGCGGACTCCTGCTGTCCCCAGCGAGCTGCAAGGACACGTGGCCAGCAGGAGGGAGGAAACGCTGGGGCTGTGGGAGAGCCGGGAGCTGGAGAGACGCCGGGAATCTCAGCAAAACACCTCGCACTCCTGCTAATTACGCAGAGATTAAATTGGCAACAACTCGAGCAGGAACCTTTCCTGGGACGCAGCTCCCCTCTCCCCGCTAAGGCGCCGACCGGCTCCGATTAGCACAAGGATCTGGTCCTTTGTCCTTCCCTCCCCTCTCCTGGCTTTGTCCCGGCCTCTGCCCCGGCCCGGCCTCTGCCCCCGCCATCCTCAGCCCCCTGCCTCCCCCGTCCGTAAGGACGAAGCTGGTGACTTGCTTCTTCAGGGTCCGAACCTGGAAGTCGCAGGGCACAGAAGGACGGGCCCAGGAGGCGGATGCAGACCTGCCCCGTGCTGGGTGTGGTGGCTGGGATGGCGGGAACACACGCAGGTGGCTCAGGGCCAACCTGGGTCTCGGCACGGGCTTGCATGGGACGGTGGGGGACCTCTGGGCGCCAGCAGAACCCCGCTCCCTGCCGCCATGTTGGCTCCAGGGGCCACGGCAGGTGTCTGCTGTGGGTGGGGCAGCCGCAGGGCCTGGCCAGCCGGTCACCGTCAGGGCCGCTCCAGCCCCTCTGGGGGTTATTTAAAGTCCTCGTGAAGACTCCGGCGGCGCCTCCCTCCCAGCCTTCCGGTGTGAAGCTCTAGAAGCCGAAGCCCCAGCTCTACCTGGCGGCTCCTCTTCCACCTGCAGAACATAATTCGATTGTTGCTGTGGGACTTGCCTTGAATGATGACGCAGCAGCTGGAAAAGACCATGGAGACTCTGAGGCTGTGGCTCGGCCATGCTCAGTGCAAAGGCAGGCGAGCATGTGTGGACAGGGCTCCGCCGTGCCCCAGGCTCAGCACGCCCTGGGCAAGCTCACCTGCAATCCCGGCTCTGCCTGCTGAGCCCTGGGCCCCTCCAGGGCTGCTGCGCGGCCCCCTCACTGCCTCCTGCCAGTCCCAGTCCCCAAGTCCACGTGGGCCCCGTCTCCTACCCCGTCTCACCCACAGTCGTGGCCCCTCCCTTTCCTCCTGACTTGGTGCCAGACACCTGTGTCCCAGACAGAGATTCAGCCTTGCCGGTCCTGCCCTCCCCCGAGGGAAGAGCCTGCGGGGTCCACGCCAAGGGGGTGCTGAAGGGTGCAGGGAGGCCGCCCTCTCTGGCAGGGGGTGCAGGGCCTCCTCCCGCAGACTGTGGGCGACTCCTCGCAGGTGTCTCTTCTCCAGAAGGAGGGGTATTTATTACTCACAGCAAAAACATGCTCAGCTGTGTTTGTGTAAGGTCTGGACTGGGGGGAAGGACTAGAGAGAGGGAGGGAGAGAGGAGGAAGAGAGAGACAGACAGGGAGAGGGAGAGGGGAAGAGGCCACGGTCCGTGGGAACCTGAGCATAACGTAAGAGCTGTTCCGGCCGAAGTGCAACCTACCGCCCCTTCCCTGTGAGCAACACGCACGCAAGGTCTCTGGCTTTGCAGACCCGGAGGGACCACCCCTCGCAGTCACTAAAACGATGACAATCAGGGGAAGCCACGCCAGGCTGCTCTGGCACTCCGGGGAGTCCTGGGCCCGTGGGCGGGCCGGTGGCTTGGGAGCCAGCCCAGGTGATGGAGCCAGCCCAGGTGACAGAGCCAGCCCAGGTGACAGAGCCAGCTCAGGCCTCTACCCCCTGGCCAGGGACTCAGCCTGGTGTCCTTTGAACAAAACACAGACCCCACCCAGGCGGAACTTTGCCGGCAGTTCTTTAAGTAAAAGTGTTCATCTCTGCAGGGGATGGGTTCACCACCCGAAATGAAGGCGCTCCATGTCTCGTGCAAACTTAAGTGACTGGGACAATGAGGTTGTTGGAAACAAAGCCCCGAGGAGGGACCGAGGTAGAACAACGTTCACACGTGCACAGCAAACGCAAACCACCCTCTGCACCACGGAAACGCAGGGCCACGGCATGAACTTCAGGCGAATTTGCAGGAAGCAAAAGCATCCGACTACAGGACCGCTTGACAATGATCAAAGGTACCATCCACTTCGAAGCTGTTATTCCCAAACAAAACGCAACAAATAAACGGTATTAAACTGTGTAAACAGCTGGAAGCTATACAAAGAAAAATCCACAGAAGTCTGATAAAAGTGGACGCCATCTTTCAGTCCTTAAGAGATCAAGTAGATTAAAAAATGATCAAGGATCTAGAATGTGGGCATAATAAAATTAAAGAGACGTAAACATCTTGTGTTGAGCGTGTTTCACACACGCAGAAAATGCGCTCATTTCAGTACCCAGGAAATATCAGGGACGTAGACCATGCGTGCTGGACCAGCGGAGTCCAAACATTTTCAGCCGTGCACCCATAATATACGGATATTGATTATCAACACTTTATAAATTATCATTTGTAACATACGACATATAACATATCACGTCCATCGTAAGACACACAGTAGTAGACACGCAGAGAAGCCGTGGCAAAGGTGCATTGAGCAGACGTTTCCTCTTTTCTCCCTCCTGTGGACTGACGTGTGCACCTGCCTCGGTTAAAATACAGAAACCACTACTCTGGTTTTGTAGCCAGCATAAGACCCCACTAACCTCCATGAAGCACGTTTTAACTGAAAGAAACACTGCAGAAACACTTTGGATGCAAATGTCTTAAAATATTAAAAGTAACATTTATTAGCACCTTCAAAAACAACGTCCCTACGTGTCACTCTGAGAATGCAAGGGTGGTTCGAGTTGAGAAGTCTAATCATTTCACATGTTAACAGGTGAGAGGAGAAAAGCATGGGCTCACGGCATGACTTCGGACAATAGTGGAAAACTGGACATGAAACAGATGTCCATCCCAGCTGGAGTGAATTCATAAGTCATGGACCATCCTCATATCAGCCTGCTACACGTGGCCACCAGGAGGAATTGGAGCCACGTGTCCAGTGTGGAGTGAGAATCAGACAGAGCCACGTGTCCAGTGTGGAGAGGGAATCAGACAGAGCCACATGTCCAGTGTGGAGAAGGAATCAGACAGAGCCAGGTGTCCTGTGTGGAGAGAGAACCAGACAGAGCCACGTGTCCTGTGTGGAGAGAGAATCAGACAGAGCCGCGTGTCCTGTGTGGAGAGAGAATCAGACAGAGCCGCGTGTCCTGTGTGGAGAGAGAATCAGACAGAGCCCTGTGAGCTAGGCTGACGCCATGGCACTCACTCTAGCCTGGGCAACAGAGTGAGACTCTGTCTCAAAAAAAAAAAAATTAAAAAAATACTTTCGGACTGTCTTATGCTAACAAGGGACCTTCCATCCTCAACATTATATAACGCTACTTTATGAGTTTTTAAAATGCATAAACTTTTTATCCACTTGTACCCAAACAGTCAACAACCCATGAGAACGTCAAACCCCACCGACAGATGTGAAAATCCCAGGGGGAACAGCGAGCCGGCGGTTTCCACCCCCCCGGGCGGCCTGCACACACAGGCTGGCATCGCCAGCGCGGCGGGGCGAGGGCCGTGCGTGCCGGGCGCCGCTGACGGCAGCCCAGGCGTGAGCCGCGCACACGCAGGGGCCGCGCCGACCGACACCCGTCAGACGCCGGCGTGTGCGCGGTTTTGACTCAGCAACACCACTCCGTTCTCCGGAAACGCACGCGGAATACGAAGACGCTCATCGCAGCGCTGGGTTTGATTCTAAATGACTAGAAGCAAACCAAGTGTCCATCAAAGCAAAGTCGAGTAAATAAACCGCTGCACATCCATGATTTATCACGGGGCCTGACACGGATGGAGAGAGGCGTGTGTGTGCATGCGTGTGCGTGCGTGTGCGTGAATGCATGTGTGTGCATGCATGTCGAATCTATACTATGGATACGGAAAGCTGTCCAGGATGATTTCTGTGCGCAGAGGCAAGCAGTAATGGATAGAATGGTGCTAATCATGTGATCCCGTCCTTGACAAAATGCAGGAACATTGAAAGGAAGTACACTTGACCCTCCTCTCTGGACGCTAAGATTTCAGGCAATCCTTTTTTTTGCTTTTTCATTAATTTTTTATAAAATTCTGAATTTGAGACTTTTTAAAAAGTTGCAGTGGATGCTATCGTTTTAAAAATAAAAAACAAACAAAGCTGTTTTTCAAAGGAGCTATGAAACTGGAATCCGGAACAACAAGAGGCCCACGGACACCAAATGAGAAGGTTTTCCTCAGTTGTCCTGGCAGGTGCAGAGCCGCCAGCTGTGACCAGCCGTGACCGGCCGTGCGTCTGGCGACACTGGGCCCACCTCGAGCTTGCAGAGGATGCTGGGCTGGGGGAGGAGCCTCAGGATCCCTCTGCATCCACGTGGCCACCCACATCTGGCAAAGCCTGCTCCGGCTCTCGCTGGGGCCGGCCTGGCCCGTTGTTACCGAGGGCCACGGCCACCAAGACAGCCGGGACCTGCCGCTGCCCTGAGGAGCTCGGGGTCTGGGGCCCGAGGGGTCTGGGACAGGCACAGGCCCCAGGGTGCTGTGGGGGTGCAGAGCGGGTGCTGGGCTGCACTTGGGTCTGGAAGTCTTCTGGGAGGAGGTGGCAGCTGAGCCGGGTGGTGGAGGAAGGGCGGGTGCCGCAGGTGGACAGCTGGGCAGTGTCAGGGCAGGGGCCGCACTGAGAACTGCCAGGGAGCCTCCCGCCCACAGCTGCCACGCGTGGACACCCACCCAGCCCCTCCCTTGCGCAGGGCAAGGTGCTGGGGTCACGGGGCAGGGAAAGGACCCTCCGCCCGCCCTCCTGGGACCCTGTGCCAAGAGCAGAGGAGGGTGTGGCCGCCGGAGTGTCCAGCGGGGCCTGGAGCCCGAGGCAAGGCGCAGCCTCGGAGCAGCTCGGACACGTGGCAGGGTTGGCGTGGCTCTGCAAGGTGGCCAGTCGTCCGGGACGGCGGTCGGTTTCCGCGGACTCCTGCTGTCCCCAGCGAGCTGCAAGGACACGTGGCCAGCAGGAGGGAGGAAACGCTGGGGCTGTGGGAGAGCCGGGAGCTGGAGAGACGCCGGGAATCTCAGCAAAACACCTCGCACTCCTGCTAATTACGCAGAGATTAAATTGGCAACAACTCGAGCAGGAACCTTTCCTGGGACGCAGCTCCCCTCTCCCCGCTAAGGCGCCGACCGGCTCCGATTAGCACAAGGATCCGATCCTTTGTCCTTCCCTCCCCTCTCCTGGCTTTGTCCCGGCCTCTGCCCCGGCCCGGCCTCTGCCCCCGCCATCCTCAGCCCCCTGCCTCCCCCGTCCGTAAGGACGAAGCTGGTGACTTGCTTCTTCAGGGTCCGAACCTGGAAGTCGCAGGGCACAGAAGGACGGGCCCAGGAGGCGGATGCAGACCTGCCCCGTGCTGGGTGTGGTGGCTGGGATGGCGGGAACACACGCAGGTGGCTCAGGGCCAACCTGGGTCTCGGCACGGGCTTGCATGGGACGGTGGGGGACCTCTGGGCGCCAGCAGAACCCCGCTCCCTGCCGCCATGTTGGCTCCAGGGGCCACGGCAGGTGTCTGCTGTGGGTGGGGCAGCCGCAGGGCCTGGCCAGCCGGTCACCGTCAGGGCCGCTCCAGCCCCTCTGGGGGTTATTTAAAGTCCTCGTGAAGACTCCGGCGGCGCCTCCCTCCCAGCCTTCCGGTGTGAAGCTCTAGAAGCCGAAGCCCCAGCTCTACCTGGCGGCTCCTCTTCCACCTGCAGAACATAATTCGATTGTTGCTGTGGGACTTGCCTTGAATGATGACGCAGCAGCTGGAAAAGACCGTGGAGACTCTGAGGCTGTGGCTCGGCCATGCTCAGTGCAAAGGCAGGCGAGCATGTGTGGACAGGGCTCCGCCGTGCCCCAGGCTCAGCACGCCCTGGGCAAGCTCACCTGCAATCCCGGCTCTGCATGCTGAGCCCTGGGCCCCTCCAGGGCTGCTGCGCGGCCCCCTCACTGCCTCCTGCCAGTCCCAGTCCCCAAGTCCACGTGGGCCCCGTCTCCTACCCCGTCTCACCCACAGTCGTGGCCCCTCCCTTTCCTCCTGACTTGGTGCCAGACACCTGTGTCCCAGACAGAGATTCAGCCTTGCCGGTCCTGCCCTCCCCCGAGGGAAGAGCCTGCGGGGTCCACGCCAAGGGGGTGCTGAAGGGTGCAGGGAGGCCGCCCTCTCTGGCAGGGGGTGCAGGGCCTCCTCCCGCAGACTGTGGGCGACTCCTCGCAGGTGTCTCTTCTCCAGAAGGAGGGGTATTTATTACTCACAGCAAAAACATGCTCAGCTGTGTTTGTGTAAGGTCTGGACTGGGGGGAAGGACTAGAGAGAGGGAGGGAGAGAGGAGGAAGAGAGAGACAGACAGGGAGAGGGAGAGGGGAAGAGGCCACGGTCCGTGGGAACCTGAGCATAACGTAAGAGCTGTTCCGGCCGAAGTGCAACCTACCGCCCCTTCCCTGTGAGCAACACGCACGCAAGGTCTCTGGCTTTGCAGACCCGGAGGGACCACCCCTCGCAGTCACTAAAACGATGACAATCAGGGGAAGCCACGCCAGGCTGCTCTGGCACTCCGGGGAGTCCTGGGCCCGTGGGCGGGCTGGTGGCTTGGGAGCCAGCCCAGGTGATGGAGCCAGCCCAGGTGACAGAGCCAGCCCAGGTGACAGAGCCAGCTCAGGCCTCTACCCCCTGGCCAGGGACTCAGCCTGGTGTCCTTTGAACAAAACACAGACCCCACCCAGGCGGAACTTTGCCGGCAGTTCTTTAAGTAAAAGTGTTCATCTCTGCAGGGGATGGGTTCACCACCCGAAATGAAGGCACTCCATGTCTCGTGCAAACTTAAGTGACTGGGACAATGAGGTTGTTGGAAACAAAGCCCCGAGGAGGGACCGAGGTAGAACAACGTTCACACGTGCACAGCAAACGCAAACCACCCTCTGCACCACGGAAACGCAGGGCCACGGCATGAACTTCAGGCGAATTTGCAGGAAGCAAAAGCATCCGACTACAGGACCGCTTGACAATGATCAAAGGTACCATCCACTTCGAAGCTGTTATTCCCAAACAAAACGCAACAAATAAACGGTATTAAACTGTGTAAACAGCTGGAAGCTATACAAAGAAAAATCCACAGAAGTCTGATAAAAGTGGACGCCATCTTTCAGTCCTTAAGAGATCAAGTAGATTAAAAAATGATCAAGGATCTAGAATGTGGGCATAATAAAATTAAAGAGACGTAAACATCTTGTGTTGAGCGTGTTTCACACACGCAGAAAATGCGCTCATTTCAGTACCCAGGAAATATCAGGGACGTAGACCATGCGTGCTGGACCAGCGGAGTCCAAACATTTTCAGCCGTGCACCCATAATATACGGATATTGATTATCAACACTTTATAAATTATCATTTGTAACATACGACATATAACATATCACGTCCATCGTAAGACACACAGTAGTAGACACGCAGAGAAGCCGTGGCAAAGGTGCATTGAGCAGACGTTTCCTCTTTTCTCCCTCCTGTGGACTGACGTGTGCACCTGCCTCGGTTAAAATACAGAAACCACTACTCTGGTTTTGTAGCCAGCATAAGACCCCACTAACCTCCATGAAGCACGTTTTAACTGAAAGAAACACTGCAGAAACACTTTGGATGCAAATGTCTTAAAATATTAAAAGTAACATTTATTAGCACCTTCAAAAACAACGTCCCTACGTGTCACTCTGAGAATGCAAGGGTGGTTCGAGTTGAGAAGTCTAATCATTTCACATGTTAACAGGTGAGAGGAGAAAAGCATGGGCTCACGGCATGACTTCGGACAATAGTGGAAAACTGGACATGAAACAGATGTCCATCCCAGCTGGAGTGAATTCATAAGTCATGGACCATCCTCATATCAGCCTGCTACACGTGGCCACCAGGAGGAATTGGAGCCACGTGTCCAGTGTGGAGTGAGAATCAGACAGAGCCACGTGTCCAGTGTGGAGAGGGAATCAGACAGAGCCACATGTCCAGTGTGGAGAAGGAATCAGACAGAGCCAGGTGTCCTGTGTGGAGAGAGAACCAGACAGAGCCACGTGTCCTGTGTGGAGAGAGAATCAGACAGAGCCGCGTGTCCTGTGTGGAGAGGGAATCAGACAGAGCCGCGTGTCCTGTGTGGAGAGAGAATCAGACAGAGCCGCGTGTCCTTGTGTGAGAGACAACCAACAGACCGCGTGCCTGCTGTGCAGAGAACCAACACCGACCGCGTGTTCCTGTGTGGAGGAAACCACAACAAGCCCGTGTGCCTTGTGTGAAGAGCCGAGACAGAGCCACGTCCTGTGTGGAGAGAGAACAACAGCAGCCGACGTGGGTCTATGTGTGGAGAAGAACAGACAGAGCCACCGTGTCCGTGTGGAAGAGAACTCAAACAGAGCCGCGGTGCCCGGTCTGAGAGAGAGACCAGACCCAGACGCGTGTCTGGTGGAAGAGAATCAACAGACCGCGTGTTCCGGTGAGAGAGAACCAGAACAGAGCCGCGTTCCTTGTGAGAGAATCGACCGAAGCCTGCGTGCCTGTGTGAGAGAGAACCATACAGAGCCCGCGTGTCCGTTTGAAGAGCAGAAAACAGCTAAGAATATTAATAATATAAACTGAGGCAAGAAGATAAAAACCTCCGCATCTATATCTTATAATATGTATAATTACTAAATTATAATATATGACTTATTCACCGATGAACACACGAGTATTTCCATCTATAATTTATGTGCATGTTTTGTCCCTACATTTCTATGGAGAATGACAGCAAAACTGCACTTACACACGCCATGTGATCCAAGCCCCCCAGCTCCCGCGCCAGTCCCTGCGGCTGCTGTCCAAGAACCCCTGCCAAAGAGTTCGTCCCACCGGGCCTGGTGTGGCAGCCACCTGCACGGAGCGCTCTTCAGAGCCTCGCTATCTCTGCCCACACTCGTGTCCACAGCACCCGATGGCACCCACTCCCACCCTGGCTGGGAGCCTGCCGGGTGTCGGAAGCGATAGACCACATCCCAGTAGAAGGAGAGTCTCCTCCGCTCTCAACCAGGCCTGGCCCCTCACCTGCGGTGCCACATGCTGCTGGTGCCACGTGGGCTATGACACTCCTGCCTTTCTGGTCCCACAGGTGTAGCCCTCCACTCTGTCCCCAGAAGTTGTCACCGCAGTGGAAGGCCACACATGGGGACTGTCACTCACCTGGCCTTCAAGAAGGACTGGGAGGTTCTCCCCCTGCCCGAGGGTGTTTCCAGAGCTCGGTATTTCCTACCCAGCTGCCCCCACCCCGGGCCACCCACAGACCCATCCCTCAGCTCCGTCCTGGCAAGGGGTCCGCCCTGGGCCTGGGTCAGTGGGTGGGGGAGGCAGAACATTCCTGTGATCACCCGCTGCTCTGCTAGGCAGCACACCGCGGTTGCTCTTCCCACAGGTTGCTGCCTCACCTGCGGGCGCCCACATCAGACCCGGGGCCACGGAGGTGAGCCTTACCTGTCCTCAGGTGTGTCTCCCCTGCCCGACACTCCCCACAGCTGCACCAAGATGGGAAAAGACACCTTTTCAAATAAAGGCATGGAGCCTGGATCAACGGAAACCTGCCGTCAGGAGAAAACAAATCCCGATCTGCCCACTGTGGTGCCCGCCCACGTCTAAGCTGCCCCAGGGCAGCCCTCCCCTGTCTTCCCAGGGGATCCTGCTGCTCCCACCTGTCCCCTGAATCTGTGTGGATCCCGCCGTCCAGGCCTGCGCCTTGGGCAGACCCCTGCGTGGCCACGGCCCCCTCCCCGCCCACACCCAGCGCCTGGTGCCCGGAGCAGCCTGGTTTGCACACGACCCCGCCCGGCAGTTTGTGTCCATGATCAGCACAGCCATGCTGAGCCCACCAGGGGCCATGTGCCCCCCAGCCGCCCCCAGGGCCTGCCCCTCCTCCCGGGCTGCTGCCCCTCCACGCCGGGGACAGGACACGACTGGCTATGTGGGGGTCCCCTCCCCTCTATACACTGGGCATGTGCCAGGTCAGGGAGGGGACTGCTGTCCCTCTCGGCCAGTGCCCACCGGCTGGCCTGGCCTCCTGAGGACTTGGGGTGGCCACAGCAGGGGACATTGGTGTCCAGCACACGAGTGGCTCAGCAGGAGAGTGGCCAGGCCCCACCATGGGCCACGTGGGCCCCACTGTGAGGGCAGATCAGCCCTCATGGCAGGTCCCCAGAGAGAGGGCTGGGGATGGGCGTGGCAGTGGGGGAGGGCGGGTGGACAGGGCGGGGGGCCGTGACACCGTGGCCTTCACCGGGGCAGGTGGCAGGAAACTCCTGGTTGCACAGGAAGGTCTGTGGCAAGTGCCCAGGTGGTCACACACGGTGTCTGGCACGTGGACCTGGACACGCGTGCTCCGCCACGCAGGAACCCGGATGTCACGGGCTGTCATCCCCTCCACGAGCTTCCCGCCTGCCGGGGCCCGTCTTCTCCACGCCCCGGGGCCTCATTTTCTAGCCTTCGTGCTAAACTGTACCTGCGGGTTCTCTCCTCTCCCCTCTCGGCCTGTCACGGGTCCAGCCACGATCCAGCCGATGCCGGCAGCCCCCCAGGTGTGTGAATGAATGGGGGGGTTGGCTGGAATGAGGGCCAGCGACCACGGGAACATGAACAGTCTCTCCCCCCAGGCTCTCGGCTCCCAGAGCTCTGGATGCCGCAGGGCGGCGGTTGCCCTTGGCGAG